CTCAGGAAACAAGCACTGCATGGTGGGATCACGTTGTCATGCAAGTCTGGGATGATGTGCCATGGCTGCAGAACTTTTGGATGAGAAAAACCACTTTCATGGGACTGTGTGAGGAGCTCGCCCCCACCCTGTGGCACAAGGACACGAGATTGAGAGCTCCCCTAATGGTGGAGAAGCGGGTGACTATTGCAATCTGGAAGCTGGCAACTCCAGACACCTACCGATCGGTTGCTAACCAGTTTGGAGTGGGGAAGTCAACCGTTGGAATCGTGTTGATGCAAGTTTGCAGGGCCATTAATCGCATCCTGCTCAGCAGAACCGTGACTCTGGGTAATGTGCATGACATAGTGGCTGGCTTTGCACAAATGGGTTTCCCTAACTGCGGAGGGGGGATAGATTGCACTCATATTCCAAATCTGGCACTGGCCCACCTAGCCTCTGAGTACGTTAATCGGAAGGGGTATTTCTTGATGGTTCTCCAGGTGCTTGTGGATCACCGTGGGCGTTTCATTGACATTAACACAGGCCGGTCCGGAAAGGTGAATGACACCCGCATCTTTGGGAACACTGGCCTGTTCAGGAAGCTGCAAGCCGGAACTTTTTTCCCAGACCAGAAGATGACCATAGGGGAAGTCAAAATGCCCACTGAGATCCTTGGAGACCCCGCTTACCATGCCATGGCTCATGAAACCCTAAACAGGGAGCCTTGACAGCAGCAAGGAGCAGTTCAACAACAGGTTGAGTTGGTGCAGAATGACTGTGGAGTGTGCTTTTGGCCCTTTAAAGAGCCGCTGGCGCGCTCTGTATGGAAAGCTGGACCTGGCCGATGACAGCATCCCCGCGATTATATCTGCGTGTTCTACCCTCCATAACATTTGTGAAGGGAAGGGTGAAAGATTCACTCAGGTATGGAACTCGGAGGTTCAACACCTGGAGGCTGAATTTGAACAGCCAGAGAGCAAGGCTATTAGAGGGGCTGCAAGGATTAGGGATGCCTTAAGGGAGCAATTCGAGGCTGAAAGCCACTGGTAATGTCTGGTGCCCTGCACGGGAGTGAAGTGCAGTGGTTCCAATGTTAGCAGGAATCTGTTTGCTACGCTGACTTGCAGTGCCTGTTTTTTTCCTGGGCTAAGGTATCTTTTACTTTTATGCAATAATAAAGAATGTTTTTAAAGCCAAAAAAGCCATTTATTGAAAAGAGACACAACTGCTTGGGAAACAGAAAGGGCAAGGGGTTGGGGAACGGTACAATCACAGATTTGCGTATGTCCTATCTGGAGTGCTGTGCAATGTGTGCTGCAGTTCAGGATGGCTATACCGCATGGTGATGGGGGTTGAGTGCGGTGGGGTAAGGGTCATAGTTTTCAGGGCTGGGTGGTGAAGCTACAGGGGTTGGAGGCATCTGGTGGCGGTAAGAACCCGGATGTTGGGGAAAGTGGGTTGGAGGTTACATGGGGGCACAAGGGAAAGAGTTTCGGGACAAGGGCTGCGGGGGGTGGAGGGGGGGCGGCACGGCGCGGTAGTGCTCCGCATGCATTGCTACAAGTGGCTGTATTGAGTCCGCTTGGTGCTCCATGTTTCTTAGCAGCCACTCCATGCTTTGGTGCCGATGATCCGCATTCTGCTGGCGGACCCTCCTTTCACTCTCCTGCCATTCCTGCACTTTTTGATTTTTATTACTTGAATGCTGCATTACTTCATGCAACATGTCTTCCTTGCTTCTACATGGCCTCTTTCAGATTCTTTGGAGTCTTTCAGCCAGTGATAACACGGATGGCTGATATCTCAAGGTTGCATCTGTAAAGGCAAAATGCAACACTTAACAGAGGCAACATTGTTCACACCAGACAGAGCAATGATTCCCCCGTACTTAAGGGCAAGCACAATCTACACAATAGCATAATTTGCCCATCCCAAAGCGAGCGCACGTAACCCACGGGAGCCCCAAAATGGTGAGTAAGCACAGGGTCAAGCGTGACTGATTGTTTATGGCTGTACTCTCCTCTGGGTTTCTGTGCCTTGGGGAGAGCCAACAGCTGCAGTGGGCCCCTATACTGAACATTCTCCCCACATTTTCCACGGAAGTTTGTCCTGGAAGATATCTTGCTGCAGAGGGTGACCTAGGAAGCAAGGGAGGTCTTCTACTGCAATGCAGCTTCCGCCCTGGCCCGTATGCAGCTTGCCTGTGTGCAGCAATGGTCCCCCTGCCCCTCGGGGCACAGTGGCACGGACAAGTTAGCCTGACTGGGACAAGGACCACAGTGGCTCTCGCGAGAAACCTGGACAAGCACATTGCACAAATTCTGGATGAGACCTTTGAAGAGATCACTGAGGCTGATTACTGCGATGTGAGAGAGCACATCATCGCCCTATTCCGCATCTAGGCATGCATGCAGCCCTAACCCTCCTCACCCTAGGAGCCCGCACTGAATATCTTGCTTCCCAAAATAAAAGCCACTTACTGGGAACGTCCTCTGGTGTTTGTCCTTCCCCAAGTACCGGCCGCCGCAACTGGCTACCTTCCTCCTGGCTTGAGAACAGCTCCTGGATGCACGCATCTAAGAATTCCGGGGTGTCTTCCTCCACCTCAGCATACTCGCTCCCGCTTTGCTGCTGCTCTTCCTCCTCCTCCTCCTGCCTTGTTGCACTGGGCTCCGAAGTGTCCATGATGATCCCCGGAGTGGATGTGGGGTCGCCTCCAAGTATTGTGCCCAGCTCTTTGTAGAAACGGCAGGTCGTGGGGGCAGCACCAGAGCGGCGGTTTGCTTCGTGGGCTTTGCGGTAGGCATTCTGCAGCTCCTTCACTTTAATCCTGCACTACAGTGAGTCCCGGTCATGGCCCCTTTCCATCATGTCCCTTGATATCTGCCCAAAGGGATCGTAATTTCTATGGCTGGAGCGCAACTGGGACTGGACAGCTTCCTCCCCCCAAACACTGTTGAGATCCAGCAACTCTCCGTTGCTCCATATTGGGGCTCGCCTGGCACGTGGAGGCATGGTCACCTGGTAAGATTCGCTGAGAGCACTCCGCGCCTGGCTGAGCAAACAGGAAGGGATTTTTCAAAATCCCCAGAGAAAGGGCGGGTCTGATGGTTGGTCACCTGAGGACAGGGCAGTAGAGTTCAAAGTGATGACCAGAGTGGCTAGCACAGTCATTGTGGGACACCTCTGGAGGCGGATCAGAGCGCACTATAGGACTAGGGCGTCCACACTGGTGCCATGGCGCTCCAGCGGGGGCGCAGCAAACGTTATTCCACTCGCTGAGGTGGAGTACCAGGAGTGCTGTGGCCGCAGTGTCAGAGCGCTCTACGTGCCTTGCCAGTGTGGACGGGTAGTGAGCTAGTGCGCCCGGGACTCCTTTATTGTGCTGTAACTCGCAAGTTTAGCCAAGCCCTGAGAAGTAAATTAGTTGATATTTGAAAATCTATATAATGTAATGTTTGATCAAGGATGCCTATTCTTGAATACCTCATTCTTTCACTTCAGCAAACTTTGGCTCTCGGGCCATCAGGATAAGCTGCTGGCGGGCAGAGATGGTTTGTTTACCTTGAGCGTCCTCAGGCACGGAGGTAAACCTAAGTAAACAAACTGTCCTGGCCCACCAGCTGCTTACCCTGATGGGCTGGGACAGTAACTGGTGGGGGAAATTTTTTGTGAGGCGGGCCAGGGGAGGATGTCTCTGGCCTAGCTGGAGTTGCTCCAGCAGCGTGCTCTGGTGGGCTGTGGCTGGGCGGTGCAGCCGCAGCCTGCCAGCCCCGGACCTGCAGCTACTTCGGAGACTCGGGAGAGAGCAGTGTGGCCAGAAGCAGAGAGACTCTGGCCCCACCTCTTCCCTTCTGGCTCTGCTGGCAGTGCTGCCTCTCCTTGCCCTCTCTGTTGGGCAGAGAGTCTGTGTCCTGCCTCTCCCACTCTATACCCTTTCATAAGCCGACCCCCTTCTCTGATGTATCCCTTTTTTACTAAAAAAATTTGGCTTATGAACGAGTATATATGGTGTATATAGTCTAAATCAGATACTCACTTGGCGTATGAGCAGATCTGGGAAGTATAACAGTGTAATGTGAGTTTTACGGTTCTGGTGTTCTGAAAAATAATCTATGCAGATTGAGAAGTGTGCATTGAAGGAAACAGACTAGGATGGTCTGTAGAACCATGGTGGACAGTAGGCTTTTCTTGACAGATCTCTTTCACTCAAAGATTGAAGAATGTATCTCTGCTTGTTAGATGAATCCTAATGTCTTTTTTTCAATTTGGGGATGAAAAGGAGTATAGTATTACTAAATGATGTGTGTTGAATTAATAATGGTCTGAAATGCTATTTTTACTGGGAGATCTGAATTCCATCATCAAAGAGATCAAAATAAGAACTGGGACAGTATTTTAAACATTGAGTTCTGGTCATTCATATTTATTCCTATTGATTTAAATTAATCCAGAAAAGGAGATTTTAGGTTAAGCAGTCTGTTTAGAAAACTAACATCATTAGAAGAGTAAACATAGTAAACTAAAACACAGTTTAAAGTTGTACTTGAGTGTGTGTTACATTTCTCCACTCTCAATGAACCTGAGTGAAAAATACAGAATATGCATAATGATGAAATGTGGAAGTAGAAGTAGAAAATAATGTTCTGTTTCAATTTACTATTTTTTTTTTCAACTACTGTGCAGTTTATATCCAGACCATATTGACAAGCTAGCTAATAAGAAACAGACGCCAGCCTTACCAGCAGTTGTTTCTGGTTCCTTATGCACAGTGAATGATACCAAAACAAAAAGTCAGATAATATTTATATTTGTATCTGATATAACTGTGCATCTTTTGTGATAATCACATGTGCTTGCCTCTTGATTTTAATATCTTCATGTTCTTCTCCTACCTCACTATTCTTTTGATTGTTTGTGCCAGATTTAGTGTGTCATCTATAAACAGTGTTACGTTGTTTCCGCAAGTTGAAATATGGCTTTCCTTGAAACATAGCAATGTTTTTGCTCTCTTGCAGAGGAACCTGAGCTGAGACATGTAGAAAAAGATGTGTTAATTCCAAAAATGATGAGAGAGAAGGCCAGAGAACTATGTTCAGATAAAGTGCAAGGTAAGACCGAAATATTTATCGGAAGACCTGAATTTAATCCTTCACCTCAGTCAAATAGTCAGTGAATTACTATGTATGATTTGCTTCTCATCCATTTACTTAGAGGCCAGTATTGTAGCTTACAAAATGTCAGACTGGCTTTAGTTGATTTACAATGTAAACTCTTTACCAATGTAATGTTGTAACAAGGCACTTGGATAGAAGCTAAGTTAGGCTGAGGGAAATCTTTCAAAGTCTTTGTCTGGAGGGTGTGATGGAAGAGGAAAACAGCAGCAATAACTTCCCCAAAACAATCTCTTCAGTGTTCCTTTAGTGAAAGTGGAATTCCCACGTGTAATCAGTTTACTGACTGTAATATTACATACCTCTGTTTAAAAGAATGTTTCTTGCAGATGTTCTCTACTTTCCATGTGCCTTGGAAAAATTAAGTTTTGGCAGACATGAGAGAGATTTTCTCGTGCTAACAGTTGGATTTATTTTTCTATGACAAATGTTTTTGGGTGGTAACATTGGCTAATAGTTATAAAGCAAATTTTTCTAATTATTTCTTTTGCTAAATATTTTGGAGTTGATTAATTTTCTCTTCCAGGAATTGTAAGGATATAGAGTGGGACACAGTCAACAAGTCTGTCCAAATTTAATCGGGATATATCCCAATGGTAGACGAGGAGTATAAGTAGTAGTAAAGAATCAGGAAGCCTGAGCTTGGAATGCTTTTGTGAAGTGTCTGAATGATAGCCTAGTTTACCTCCAGCTAAGTAGAGAAAGTCACAAGAGCAAGCAGATCTTCAGTGAGAAAAGACTTACTTTATGGGCTGGGTGGATTTGATTTAAATCACTAGTTAGGAAGACTCAATTTAATCATGGATTTCTACATAAAAGTGCATTCTTATTGGTTGTTATAACCTTCAGTACATACTCTTCACAACTCAGAGATAGATGTAGGTTTCATTTTTAGAAGGTACACACTACACATTTTTAAAGTGATTTATTTTGAAAACTTTTCAGATTAGTTTTACAGCTATATCAGAAAATGAATGGTTATTTCATTTACCAACGATAAATTACGAAGTCATTGGGAGGGGAACTATCTCCAGTTCAACAGGTTAATCGTTAATATTTGGAGGATTTTCTTGCCATGCTGTATTAGGAGGATAACATCACCAGACAGACATTTAAATTGTTGTTTCAGAGTACCAGCCGTGTTAGTCTGTATTCGCAAAAAGAAAAGGAGTACTTGTGGCACCTTAGAGACTAACAAATTTATTTGAGCATAAGCTTTCATGAGCTACAGCTCACTTCATCGGATGCATTCAGTGGAAAATACAGTGTGGAGATTTATATACACAGAGAACATGAAAGAATGGGTGTTACCAGACACACTGTAAGGAGAGTGATCACTTAAGATGAGCTAATACCAGCAGGAGAGCGGGGAGGGAACCTTTTGTAGTGGTGATCAAGGTGGGCCATTTCCAGCAGTTGACAAGAATGTCTGAGGAACAGTGGGGGGGAATAAACATGGGGAAATAGTTTTAGTTTGTGTAATGACCCATCCACTCCCAGTCTCCATTCAAGCCTAAGTTAATTGTATCCAGTTTGCAAATTAATTCCAATTCAGCAGTCTCTCGTTGGAGTCTGTTTTTGAAGTTTTTTTGTTTGAAGAATTGCAACTTTTAGGTCTGTAATCGAGTGACCAGAGAGTTTGAAGTGTTCTCCGACTGGTTTATGAATGTTATAATTCTTAACATCTGATTTGTGTCCATTTATTCTTTTACGTAGAGACTGTCCAGTTTGACCAATGTACATGGCAGGGGGCATTGCTGGCACATGGTGGCATATATCACATTGGTGGATGTGCAGGTGAACGAGCCTCTGATGGTGTGGCTGATGTGATTAGGTCCTATGATGGTGTCCCCTGAATAGATATGTGGACACAGTTGGCAACAGGCTTTGTTGCAAGGATAGGTTCCTGGGTTAGAGGTTCTGTTGTGTGGTGTGTGGTTGCTGGTGAGTATTTGTTTCAGGTTGGGGGGCTGTCTGTAAGCAAGGACTGTCCTGTCTCCTAAGATCTGTGAGAGTGATGGGTCGTCCTTCAGGATAGGTTGTAGATCCTTGATGATGCGTTGGAGAGGTTTTAGTTGAGGGCTGAAGATGATGGCTAGTGGCGTTCTGTTGTTTTCTTTGTTGGGCCTGTCCTGTAGTAGGTGAGTTCTGGGTACTCTTCTGGCTCTGTCAATCTGTTCTTCACTTCAGCAGGTGGGTATTGTAGTTGTAAGAATGCTTGATAGAGATCTTGTAGGTGTTTGTCTCCGTCTGAGGAGTTGGAGCAAATGCGGTTATATTATAGAGCTTGGCTGTAGACAATGGATTGTGTGGTGTGATCTGGGTGAAAGCTGGAGGCATGTAGGTAAGTATAGCGGTTAGTAGGTTTCCGGTATAGGGTGCTGTTTATGTGACCATCGCTTATTAGTACCATAGTGTCCAGGAAGTGGATCTCTTGTGTGGACTGGTCCAGGCTGAGGTTGATGGTGGGATGGAAATTGTTGGAAATCATGGTGGAATTCCTCAAGGGCTTCTTTGCCATGGGTCCAGATGATGAAGATGTCATCAATGTAGCGCAAGTAGAGTAGGGGCATTAGGGGACGAGAGCTGAGGAAGCGTTGTTCTAAGTCAGCCATAAAAATGTTGGCATACTGTGGGGCCATGCGGGTACCATAGCAGTGCCGCTGATTTGAAGGTATACATTGTCCCCAAATTTGAAATAGTTATGGGTGAGGACAAAGTCCAGCCACCAGGTTTGCCGTGACATTATTGGGGATACTGTTCCTGATGGCTTGTAGTCTATCTTTGTGTGGAATTTTAGTGAAGACGGCTTCTACATCCATAGTGGCCAGGATGGTGTTTTCAGGAAGATCACCGATGCATTGTAGTTTCCTCAGGAAGTAAGTGGTGTCTCGAAGATAGCTGGGAGCGGCCTGAGGAGGGAGTCTACGTAGCCAGACAATCCTGCTGTCAGGGTGCCAATGCCTGAAATGATGGGGCATCCAGGATTTCCAGGTTTATGGATCTTGGGTAGCAGATAGAATACACCAGGTCGGGGTTCCAGGGGTGTGTCTGTGTGGATTTGTTCTTGTGCTTTTTCAGGGAGTTTCTTGAGCAAATGCTGTAGTTTCTTTTGGTAACTCTCAGTGAGATCAGAGGGTAATGGCTTGTAGAAAGTGGTGTTGGAGAGCTGCCTAGCAGCCTCTTGTTCATATTCCGACCTATTCATGATGACCACAGCACCTCCTCTGTCAGCGTTTTTGATTAGGATATCAGAGTTGTTTCTGAGGCTGTGGATGGCATTGTGTTCTGCACGGCTGAGGTTATGGGGCAAGTGATGCTGCTTTTCCACAATTTCAGCCCGTGCACGTCGGCGGAAGCACTCTATGTAGAAGTCCAGTCTGTTGTGTCGACCTTCAGGAGGAGTCCACCCAGAATCCTTCTTTTTGTAGTGTTGGTAGGAAGGTCTCTGTGGATTGGTATGTTGTTCAGAGGTGTGTTGGAAATATTCCTTGAGTTGGAGACGTCGAAAATAGGATTCTAGGTAACCACAATGTTATGTATTCTGGATTTTTTTCTTCAACAGCAAACATATAATATTTTAACAAAACAAGCATATGAATTTTTGAATGTAGTTAAACATTCAAGTTTTTTAAAATAGGTTTGTTTCTGTTAAAATTGTAGCTAAAATAGTTAAATTAAATTTTTTTTTTAAATTAAATCGACTGTGTCAGCCAGGTCAACATGAGAAATTTAGAATATTGGGTTCTGCAGCTAACTCAGTCATCTTCACCTTCATTTTTCTGTTTGTTCATAATCTGGAAAAGAAAAACAAGCTTTCCTGCTTTTTCAGGTCCCAAACGATTTCTCAGTTCGGAATGAATTCGTCCAAAGGAAGAAAATATTCTTTCTATACCAGCAGAAGAAGCTACTGCTGCTAAAAGTCTCTGAATCCAAGTGCTTAAGTGACTTCCACCAGTTCACTGGTATGGCTTTCTTTAAAACATCATCAACAGACATATATTTCTGGAATGGTTCTTATTCCCAAACTGGGTCTCTTTTACGGCCTGCTGCCATTATAGATTTTCCCTTCTACTGAGAGAATGGTATGGTAAATCTCAAAATCAATGAAGGCTACACTCAGAAAGACCTCAAGGCTTCTGGAATATGCTGCTCAAACAATTTCACTTTTGTTTCTACTGCCTGTCCCTCCCTTCTCAGTTTATGTCCAGACTTCTCCTTGTCCAGATATATTCCACCCCCAACCATCTTCTATTCATTGAACTTTTGAAACTTTGTTCTTTTAGAGAGAGGTAAGGGATTGACTCTGTACACAAATTTGCAGAGGCACAATAGGGTTGAGGTCTGTTATTTCTCACCTCTCTATATTTATTTATTTATTTAAAAACATTTTTGCTGTTAACAAGCATGTTATCTCTGGAGACACAAATCCACAGTTTGAGAACTGCAAAACTAAGCATCTCTGATGGTGATCTGATCTCTTCTAGACTGAGCACTGAGTCCCATTGCATAGATAGAAAGATGAACCTAAATAATCTATACAGAAGCCCCTGGAACCCCGTAAGATTGGGTCCCTAATCCATGAACTATTGGAACTCATTTACAAATCTTTTCTTAAACATGACATGAATATATTGTCTCATACTATAAAATTAGAATTTATAATTCCTATTCCATGATGAGATATCTTTGAGCTATAACGTATCTTAAATAAAACTAAATAGCTTTTTTGTCAAAAAGCAGTTTATCAAAAAATCTGATTTTAAATAAAAAAAAAATCATTGATTTTTATCCACCCTGTTTATGGGAACCTGTGAAGGGACACGTCCTCACCCTGGTATGAAGGAGGCTATCAAGCTCCTCTGGGCCTGTTCCATACTAATGAGGCACACCTGCAAAGCTTGCTCAGCCTGGAGGGGAAGGAGCTTAAAACAGTG